ATCCATCCATCCATCCATCCATCCATCCATCCATCCATCCATCCATCTATCTATCTTCCACAATGAAGGTATTATTATTTTTTAATTTATGTAAGAAATAAAATAAATTGTCATGTCATGTATATGAAAGTCTGTAACTTTGGGGGTTGGCATAATACATGTGACTATCATAAAATTAATTTCTATTTTTTTTTAATGAGAGCTGTAGTGAAGCTGGAGGGATTTCCACTGCCATTGAGCAAATCAATTGTCTTGACTATTGCACAATTGCCCAGAGGTGGCATATAAATTTAATATGTTATTGTTACAGTTGTGACTGTAGCCTTTTGCCTCCATTTTGTTTTAATGGTGTTAGTTGAATAGCATCAGTTCTGACTTCATGTTAAAGAGAACTCATTGGTGGTCTTATTCTTCTATTTCAAAATGAGGTGTATCAACAGTGGAAACTTTTTAGCTAGGTAGTTCATATTGATTTGATATTGTTGGGAGAATTGTGTTATCAAAACAAAGTAATGTAAATGAACTTTTGAAGAAAAACTCACACTAGAAAATTCTAATCCCTTTTCAGGGAAGTAAGATTAAAAAAAGAACAGAAGTGTCTGTAGTGAATTTATCTTGGTTCCACAGTAGGTTCTGGTTTTCTTCACTCCATTTTGGTTTTTGTTGATTGGTTGACTATTTTTGAATGTTTATTTAAGGAAGAGATGTATTTAAAAGAACCTGTCAATGGGCAAATAATTACTGAAGTTATACAATTACTAATCTTATTTTGAATGTTAAAAGTTTCCAAGCAGAGCACAAGATGTAAGAGTGATACATTTTTGAGCTTGATGTCAAAACCTTCATTATATTATTATTTTTAAATGTTAAAAAAGAGAAAGAAAGAAAGAAAAACACCCCTAATTAATAAAGCTAAATATTTGGTTTCTGATTTCCCCCCTGTTTGTACTCCAACCAATTTTCAGGTTCCGTCTGTGTAAACATTAGAAGCCATCCTCTTTGTATTTACCTTGTTGCATAGTATAGTTGGTTGCTTAATATCCCACTATTAATTCCAGTTTGTTATATAAACCATAATTGTCTGGTATCATGTTAACCCTAACCCTAACTCATAATTAAGTAAAATCCCCCACCACTCAAAACATATTGTGGTTTAATGTATTGTGTGAATTTAGACAAAAACAAGTAAAATGAGCAGTGAGAATAATTATGTGATCCTTTTAATTAATTATTTGGCCAGACCTTTCCCTCATGGTAGACTCTTCTATTTAGACTCCTGCCATTTTAGGAACTTCTACTGAAGATGGAATGCAAGTTCACCAAAAGAAAGTTATCTATGCAGGTGGTGTGGTTAGACAATCTTTTTCTCGTTCTCCCTTTCTCTTTCTCTCTTTGTTTGCTGTGTTAGTACTCATTTTTGCTAAGAAATACTCAGAATCAAAAAGGCATAGCCATTCATGCAAGAATCTTAAAATGACCCAGGCTCCACCCGCTTAGTATAGCATAAATCAAATCTCTTTCTCCAATTACACTTTCATTGCTTTTCTGTGACAAAACATTCTCAGCAGTGAAAAGCCATATTTTACATTTGGAATATAGGTGCCCTCAAATTGCCCACCCTCCAAAGGCAGAATGAAACTAATAATGCTGCTTAAATTGTAATTCTTGGTTGGTTTTTTTCTACTCTCTTGGCAATGTGTTAGTTCCACCTTGAAAATATTATCTACATCTTTTCTTTCTGTGCTCAGTAGAATGTTAACTTTTGAAATTTCTTTTGAAAGACAGTTTCAATGAAATTCCAATGGATGGCACGTAGGGAATTTCCATTTACCTAGTTACCAGCTCGCCAAGCAGTATGAATGAATTATCTCTTTTATATAGTATAAACATCACTCCAACACTTATAGCCTATCTGGATTCCCACAATTCATTAAAACCAAGGAAAGAAGTTAGAGGCTTTCATGGAAACACATCAGTCTCCACAGTCATAGAAAAATATATAACAATGAAATAATCTGAATAGTATCTCCCAAAGGAAGCATGATGAGAATCAACTAGGACAGCAGAAGCCTCTGTTTCAGGAGAACATGTCTAGTAGTTGTTCAGGCTTCTGCTTTTCTGGTTGATTTTCAATATGCTCACTTTCTGAAAAGTTGCAGGACAGATTTTCACCCAATTTAGTTTATATGTTTGCTTTCAATGTTGTTTGATGGTGTTCAGTATAGAACGCTTTAAAGATTGTGAAAGTGATTTTGTCAAAAGCAACCAGATAAAAGCTAAACTAGATGCTTCTAAAACTAAAGACGGAACATTCAGACGTTTCTCGGAATGTTTGCATTTTCTACAAGAACTCATCAGTTCAGACATAACAGAACCGATAGAAGAAGAACTGATTTGTAGTTTTATGGATGCAGAAGTCATAGGTAGCTATTTTGAGAAGAAACGGACTTTAGAAAGGTTGAAATTAAGGATTTTTTTCTAATTTGCACATTTGGACCTAAACTTATCAAATGGACTTAATATGCACAACACACTAAGGAATCAAAAATTTGGAATGATGTTTGGAATGAAGCAATTTCTTCATGATTTCAGTTTATGGATTTGTATAATTTTATATGAACATGTTCAAGATGCCCATCTCCTTTAAATCCTGTCCTTGTCATCTTCTTATGCCTATGCCTGAATATAATTTACATTGGATCTGCTAGAATGTGAAGTGACTATGCTTACGCATGCAGACAGCTGCAGACAGTTTTCAGAGCATCAACAGGAGACTTGTAAGGAACCCAGCTACTATAATGCTTTGGGAAGAGGTGCTTCATTCATGCAAACATGCTTTGTGCAGTGTCTCTTTAGTGGGCTTTGTGCATACCTGCTATATTCTGTTATTACACAGAAGTCATTTTGGATTTCCAAAACCTTTATAGGCCTTCCATATCAGCAGGAGCCAGGATTGTTCAAAGACCTAGAAAACCTCTGTATTCAAGAACTCCAACCTACTCTGCCCCAGGCTCACTTTTCAAAGAGTTGGAAATGCTGAGAGTTGCAGCTTCAATGCATCTGAAATGTATCAGGTTAAGGAAGTCTGATCTAGCATGAAAGCACACAGATACTTGGATTTTCAGTTTTAAGCATGACAGATGTTGATATGGGAATAAAGCTCACAGCGGTAGTTAAAATGTAGCTGTACAAATAATATGTTTGTATTGACAGCAGGAAGAACAGGAAACACTCTTTTCCAATCAAGTTTTGTTCCCCCATTATGTCATCTGTTCGTGACTTTCACCCATTGGAAGTTAACCAACTATTAACAGGGTGAGGAAAAGCTATTTTTATGCTTGACGCCATCTCAGGAAGAAGGAAGGATGCCAACATTGTTCCAAGAAGAGATGTTGCTACTGAGTGTTAAATTAAAATATGATACATTTCTTATGGTTTTGTTGCCATCAGAATTAAAGACATGTTTATGTAGATAATGCTATACTTCCTTGACAACATGTTAGGGGGAAAACACAGTTATTGCAATCCTATTAACTCTATTCAACTGGAAAGCTGACAGTCCAGGTTTGAAACCCTGTGCAATGGGCAATGGGGTACTGTGCAATGGGATAAGCATTGTGCAGGAATGGGTAAGTTTCCATTCCTGCCCCAGCTGCTGCCCATGTGACCATGGAAAATGTTTTCAGACAACACTGGCTCCCTTGTTCAAGAAACAGAAATAAACACTGCACCCTAGAGTCAGAACTTAACTGGACAAGAAAACCTTTACCTTTGTTAAATTGCAACATCTGCCATTGAACATGCCCCAAATTGGATAATGTTTCCAAGGCTCATGCAAGTCAGATGTCAAGTTATTATTATTATTATTTTCATTAAGATATGGATTTTATTAGCATACACTCATTTTAATTGACTTTCATATGAGTTGGCTCAGTTCACAAGCCATGGGAGATTTGAGCTTCACATTTTTCAAGCTTCACTTCCCTTGATGAAGTGTAAGCTGTAGCTGTCAAGGGAAGTGGGTTTCTCCAGTCTGCTCTGTTGATCTTCTTCAAGGGCATACCCTGAACAAAAGCTACCAGTATGTACTTTTCTTTTCTTTCTGTCTTTGGTGAATTTCTTACTACATTTTAAGACAGTAGTTTCCCAAAGTAGGTTAAATTATAATCTCCTCCACTTCTATTTAGTATCGATGTGACAAATTTTCTAAGAGATAAATTACTTTTCAATAAATACACAAATATATGCTTTTGACTTGAAACCACTGTTTGACACATTTCCCAGGGATGCACTATGAGTAAATTTTCTTCCCAGTTATTAGATATTTCTACTTATTGTATTCAAAGGCTGTATGAAAACATCCACATTCAAACCAGTTGGGTTCACAAAGTGCAGTTCTAATTTTCAAAGGGGTTGAGTGCTTGCCCCACTCCAGTTATATCTTGACTGAAATTCCTTTCTGTGTCTTGTCTTCTACTTTTTCCAACTGGTTAACAATGTATGTATCAATACTTTCAAGTACTGCTGATACAAATAGTTTTTTGTAATGTCCAAGACATTTAAAGTCAGCCTCATTAGCTGTGAAAAATATACTGCTGTGACATTTGAATAGGAATAAATACTAGGACTACCCAGGCACAACCAGAGAAATTAAAATGTTGTCCATTAAAGCTTCTGTGAAATATCTAAACTGTTTAACAATGGCAAGATCCACTTCACTGTGGAGTCCTTTGATGCTGTTTGAACTTGGTTGTTTGCTTGCATGTATTTCATTACCTGAA